CACTGGGAGAGAGGCTCCCTACCCTGGACCTACATGGTCTGGTGGCATCTGGCAGGGGCAGCTCTCCTGGTGGGCTGGAGGCACTGAGTAGGTGACAAGGTGCCAAATCCCAGGCAGGCCCCCAGAAATGTTGCAGGAGAGCTCAGACAGAGACAGAGGGCACCAAAGATTTTGGGAAGCAAGTCTATTAAGCAGAGACTCAGCAGACTCATGTCCAAAGGCTGATCACCGAAAACAAAGGGGGCTTTACTTATATACCATTTAGAGCAGGTTACAGAAATGGGGGAGTACAGCTTGTCCTATATATAATCACGTTATTTCATTGACTGTTTTACCTTCTGGGGCGAGGTGACCCTCTGGTCTCCAGGTAACATTCCCCAACTCTGTTTTTCCTTTGTTTTACTGTGCCACTCATTAATCTCTCTTCCCACTCCCTGCGTTCCTGCCACATAATATGTGTCTTCCTCAACTATCACAGGGACCAAAAAGCTCGGGTGCATCAGAACAACAGGTGTAGTTCACCATACGGTCTCCCCAAGGACAAACTAACTACTGATCAGTATCTTACACAGGAAACTTGTCACTGTAGTCTTAGGTCAGAGGCCCAACTCCCGAGGTTCCAATGTGTCAGGTTTGGCCACTAATCTCAATTCGCTATTTAGAGACAAGTAATGGTGAAGGTTAGGGAAAGATTCATCAATGTGGAGTCTGTGTGGGAGGGAGAGCTCGCATTTCAGGTACCAACATGAGCTTCTGCTTTAAATATAAGACAAATTAGGGCAGGAATCAGGAGGTATACATAATTAAGCAGTCCGAGTCAAAATGTGGCTTAGTTGATCATTATCCCAGTCCTGCTTCTTTTGAGGGGGTTTGGAAGTTGTTATCAGATCATCACTTGAGTTCCCATGAGAGGATTGTGCTTGCTCCAGTGTGGAGCCTAACCATTATGGGTTAATGGCTCTCATCTCAGGGCGGAGGTAGACTGACCTGCCAGGCTCACTGTTGCTTGGGGGTAGTTTGGTCCTTAATAAAGATGTTTATTGACCACTCTTTTGTGACTGCAAAAGAGTGGCTCAGAGCAAAGGAAACAGAATCAAAATGGAGGTAGGGATTTTGGTGGCCTGGCTCAAATGGTGGAGGGCCTGCCTCAAAAGCACAAGGCTCTGAGTTCAAACTCCAGTACCCCAAGAATGCCAAGCTTTAATCTACTTTTCGCTAACTTTTGGGTTTTTTAGCAAAAGCAGTTTCCAAATTCCTGTTATAATTTCCTCCTTGTGTTTGAACATTTCTCAATCTTGAGGGAATTAAGATATCGGCCAATCTAACTTTATAGGTTTTCTGGCCAGGTGATAAACTAGTACATGAGAAGGGGAAAATTATAATGGCTAATTATGTTTAAGCCTGAAAGTAGAAGCACCATATAAAGCAGAGAATGAGGGAGCCAAAGTCAGAAGACATCCAATTAAATTATGTAGGGGTCCTTTTTTCTTTTAGTAACTCCATGAGCATGGACTACTAAAAAATGTTGGGAGCCAGTGGAAATAGTTATTTTCCTGTCTGTATTTAAATAGGAAATAGGAGATCTTTGCCAAAGATAAGTTTGCCTTCTGTCAGAAACTTTTCTTTTTGGTGGGACTGGACTTTGTGCTTGCAAAGCAGGCACTCTACCACTTGAGGCACACCTCTAGTCCATTTTTGCTCTGGTTATTTTTTGGAGATGGGGGGTCTCGGGAACTATTTGTCCGGGTTGGCCTTTATCCTCGATCCTCCTAATCTCAGCCTCCCAAGTAGCTAGGATTACTGGTGTGAGCACAAGCACCTGGCTGTCAGAAACTTAATACCTGAAATTACCAGACCCTAGCCATCCCAGATCCCCAAAGGAGTGTGTTTGTTTCAGGGCAGCCTAATCTCTACAGTGCTGTCCCCTCCCCAGGTGAAGCTCTGTCTGTGGGTTAGTTTTAATTCTATTGTCACCAAGTCAGAAGTCCCTATCATACATTAATGAATGTCAAAAAGGTACGGATACTGGAGGTGTGGCTCAAGCAGTAGAGTACCTGCCTAGCAAGTATGAGGCCCTGAGCTCAAACCCCAGTACTGCAAAAAATAAACAAAAATAAACAACGAAGTATCATTAGGTTGGGTGCTAGTAACTCACGTCTATAATTCTAGCTACTTGGGAGCCAGAGATCAGGAGGCTCACAATTCGAGGCCAGTGTGGGCAAAAAGTGAGATCCTATCTCAAAAAATATCCAAAACAAAAAGGGGCTGGTGGAGTGGCTCAAGTGGTAGAGTACCTGCCTAGCAAGTGTGAGTTCAAATACCAGCACCCACAAAAAAAAAAAAAAAAGAAAAAGAAAAAAGAAAGAAAGAGAAAAAGGGGACTTTGTCCTTTTGTGTGCTGCTGTACTTCCCACACCTGTGGCAGTGATAGTGATGGCTTATGGTAAACATTAGTAAATTTTGTTGAGTAAATGAATGAACCAACCCACTACTTCTTATAACCAGGAAACTAAAGGGCAAAGGCAGGAAGTAATTTGAATGTTCCTCTGTTCCACTATTCTTTCTTTCTCATGAGACAGGGTCTTCCTATGCAGCCTAGGCTGGCCTCATGATGCTCCTGCCTCAGCTTCTAAAGTGCTGGGATTACAGGCAAGTGCAGCCTCACCGAGGTATACTGCCATTCTTTGTGTAACAGTTGAGGAAGTGGCCCTGAGTTTGAATTGTACTTCCAGCATGTATGGGCTGTGTAATTCTGGGCAAGTTAACTCACCTCTCTGTGCTTTGCCTGAAAATGAGACAATATTTACAGTATTGTTTTTTGAGGATGAAGTAAATTACATGAAAAGTGCTTAGAATTTACATGCCTGGAGCACACTGAAAATTCACAGCCAGACAGCACCTTAAGTGAAAAGCCAAATTCACTGCTGCCTCGGAGCCTTTTCTTCTGCCAGTCCCTCAGTCTGGAATACTCCACCTCATATTCCCACATCTGATTGATTGTTCACCTGGGTATGTAGCCGAAGAGCACTTTTTGGAAGAGCCCAAAGTAGCCCCTCACTCACTATTTTGTTACTTTCCCCTACTGTCCCTTAGCAGTTTCCTTTTTTGAAGTTGGTCTCACCAGTCAGCATGTTACCCCATTCAGGTTAAGGTCATCTCTGCCCTGGGCCTTCTCATTCTACCTGCAGTGCCCAGCATCCACAGGACCTCATTATAGGGTTGAGAAGTGGGGTCAGGCTCCCCTCTGAGACAGTCAAATCCCAGATTCTTTAAAACCCTGCTGTCCCAAAGGGATGAATGCCACTTGGCCCCTCTTTTTACTCCATGGGCACATACTAGAATCTTCAGAACCAAACCAGGGAGGCAGAGCTTAGGAGCAATGAAGAGTGCAAATAAAAAGTTGTCTCTTCTGTCTTCCCCTCTGAAGTGACAAAGTTCCTAAGCACTGGTAACACTAGGGGACCAGGAGGCTCAACCATCAGGTAATTGGTAGGTCACAGGCAAGCAAGTCCCCAGGCTGCCCTACTCAGCATGGTCTTCCAGCACTGGCCATGGGACAGAAGTTCACGCTCAGTCCAGTCCAGACACCTGACTCCTCCCCCTGGCCTGGGCCTTCAGGTGCAAGCTGCCACCCATACCTTTGCTCATTTCACTTCTCTAATTAAAATGGATCAAATTGGACACTGCAGGTATACTTTTGCCATTTAGGCCAAAGAATGATAAAAAATTTAACCTGAGCTGCAGGGTTTCTATGAAGGTTCAATTTGAATCCGCTGGCAGATCAGTCACCAAATGATGAATGGAGCCTTGGGCCTGTTGTAAGGATTAAATCAGACAGATTACAGTAAATGCTTCTTAGCACGATGTCTAGCAGTATTTAATAAGATCAGCCTTGCTTTGGCAGAGCCAGGCCAACAGCAGGTACTAGAGAAGTATCTACTGACTGGCCAGGGCTTCTGGTCACATCCAGCTAAAATTTACTTAGAATTTCTGAAAACAAGTCAATGTGCTATGCAGTTTAAGAGAAAAATTATGTCTTCTGCATTCTGGTATGTATTTATTATAGGAATGTATACACTTTTAAATGCTCAGAGACTACAAACCAAATTTCTAAACAATCACTACCTGAATTTTCACACTTGGCAAAATCTACCCATTTGAAAATTGCCTAGGGTTTCATATTTCAAATTCTAGCCTTGAGGTCAAACCCCAGTCCTACAAAAAAAAAAAAGAAAAAAAAATTAAATTCTGCACAGAAAACAAAAATGTAATGAAAGGTTAGTATTACCCTTTTTATTATCTCTTTTCTATATGTACATATATATCGCAAAACAGTTACATTTACTTTTAAAATTAAATAATTCATTTTTAGTGTAGGAGGATAGTAAGATACAGATAAGCAATGGTCTTATCTATACCCTTCCAGATTTTTCCTCTGGATGTACATATGTGTATTTTGTCATAATAATTCGTATCTCTCAGAAACAAAAACAAAACAAACAAACAAACAAAAAAACCTCCTCAAAAATCCACTAGGTGCTGATGGCTCATGCTTGTAATCTTAGCTACTTGGGAGGCTGAGATTGGAAGGATCATGGTTCCAGGCCAAACGCCATCTCCAAAATAATCAGAGTAAAATGGGCTGGAGGTGTAGCTCAAGCAGTAGAATGCCTGCTTTGCAAGTGCAAAGTCCTGAGTTCAAACTCCTGTCCATAAAAATAGGCTTGCCTTAACTATACAGCAAAGATATTTATTTATATTATATAGAAATCTATATGCAGTCATTTCAATTTGGACTTTTAAAATAAAAATGATGGCATTAGTATACTTCGGAAAGATTTGTAAATTTTTCTTTTTGCGGTGCGGGGGATTAAATACAGAGTTCTCTGAGTGCTATGCAAGCACTCTACCACTGAGATGCACCCCCGACTCCTAAAAGATCCCTGTTGAAACAGCAACAGTTTCAGAGTAACTCAGTACTGTGGTCAGGCATGCTCCCAGTGAAGAGCCACCTACTTTTTTTTTTTTTCCATTAAAAAAAGTAGCATTCTACTATTGCATCCTTTAAAGGGAAGAATGTTCTGCCAATTTGGCCACCAGCTCTTCACATATTTATAGTTACTTTTTAGTAAACTCTTCATTCGTTCTGGCGTTCTTGAAAATATTCATCAAACATAGAGGAAGATCCATCTTCATGTTCCTGGCACAAAGTGAACAAAGCAGAAAATGCACTCATTTTTTCTCAGTTAACAAGTGTGTTCACGTACTGCTCAGATAATGCTCTGCATGGAACTAACACCCAAGTGTCGCTCGTTGCAATCATTAATGGTAGAAAAACCATGAGAGAATTTTGCGAACAGTCGTACACGCCTGTAATATTAAGTACTGTGCAAGACCCTGTCTCAAACCAAGCAAAGCAAAACAAAGGAAATCTGTGGTAAATCTGATAAGCTTAAAAGCATTTCTCACTTAAATTCACATTCATAGCTGATTCTCAGCTAATTTGTTTTGTTAGTGTTCTCATTAGTGTCTTCAGTAACTATGTGAGAGCAGCCCAAGTTCAAATAGATTTCACCTCCTCTTTGCACAAAACCCCAAGCCTGAGTATAAAAAGACTTAATAGTATTTTTCAACACCAGGTAGAGTAAAACTCATACCACTTTTGAGCACAGCTGTCAATTTTGGAGATCACCCAGAGAAGCCCCTGGCACTACCACCATAAAAATAAAACCTAAGTTAAGGAGTTGCCTGGATTATGCAGAGGCTGGTGAATGCTGGCAGATATTTTCCCCAAAGCCAATCTACACACATCAGAAATTACCTTAGGTTCTTTAAATTCCAAGTCTTCTCCATATTGAATGGCGAAATCGATATGCTGTAATACAATGTTCATGCTTTCCTCATCTGACTGATCGTAAGGCAAAAATCGAACCATGCTGTAGTCATCAATCTGTGAGTTGGGGATTTCAAGAAAGGCTCATTCTGAAGTCCCACAAAATACGTAATTTTCAGCTTACATCTGACTTTATAACCACTTGTACTTCCAATTATAATGTGTGTTTGGGTAGAGGGGGAGGAGGGATGGCCAGAGACAGAACAGCACCAAATCATTACTGATTTTCTGACCTCTAACTGACCAGAGCACTCATTCATTGCCATGGCTTCCAAAGTGCTGGGATTATGAGAGTGTAACACTGTACCCAGCACAAAAAGTTCTGAACTATCCAAATGGCTTACAATAATAGACACATTAATGCATTGGTCACTGTCAATAACTTCTCACTTAAGTTGCTGGGTGGCCAGCCTACAGACCCTCCATACTTCTTTGGAGGAAATGGTGTTGGACCATGTATCCCATGAAGGTGGCTACTGACTGGATGTGGGCAAACCCTTAACCAGGTCATTTAGGAAAACAACCCCATGTCTACATTTCAAAAGCTTACCAGACCGCATATAGCATTAGTCAATTTTTTGAATTTTTTGCTTCTTAAGTCACTTGTTGAATCTTGTAACAAGGAATACATGTCTGGATCTAGAAATCTTTAAAAGCAAGAAAGAAGATGATGAATAAAAGACTAAATCAGAAAACTAGATTGACATCTCAGTAAAACAGGCTCATATCTGCAATTGAGGCCTGATGGTCGCAACACAGTGAACTTACTTCTCAATTTCCTTTTTAGCTTTCTTACTCAGCAGATCCATTTTCGTCATGATGTTAATTTGGGGAATTTCTAGAGAGATCATGGCACTTAGGGCTGCCAGGATGCCAGAGATAAACTAAAGGAGGAAAAAGAAAGAATGTGAGTCAACTGTTGCCAACTAAGTCTCCCAATGGAGAGAGGCTCCTATTCATCACCAGAAAAATACTGAACCAAGTAAAACAAATGCTACTCTTTCAGAAAAAGGCCGCTCAGTACTCAGATGGCACCACAATTTAGACAGTACCGTTAATGTCCTTTCTCATCTTATACTCCCCAAGAGCTATTAGTGAAAAATAAAATTTGGTTTAGATAGTTCATTAAATGCACAAAACATCTTCAGAAAATTAGATACAGACTTTTGCTGGGTGCCAGTGGCTCATGCCTGTAATCCTAGCTACTTAGGAGGCAGAGATCAGGAGGATCGCAGTTCAAAGCCAGCATGGGAAATAGTTTGAGACGCTATCTCAAAAAAACCCAACACAAAGAAGGGCTCAAGGTGTAGGCCTGAGTTCAAGCCCCAGTACTGCAGCAAAAAAAAAAAAAAAAAAAAAAAAGACTTTTATTTTTATTTACAAGTATAGCAGTTTATAAAATATTCGTATGTGTCAATATTTTCTTAGTAAGCAGCTCTCCAAAATCTATATATCACTTACTATTTTTGAGCTTAAAATGTATTGCAATAATAGTTAATAATAAGGGATACTAAATAACTCTACAATAGTCTGTGAATAGTCTGTAAGTGTTCAGAACCACAAATAATTAAAGGAGACTGCCCCCTGCATGCACCCATGATTGAAAACTCTACATACAACAGACCTTGAATGACTCCACCATGAACTGAGAATCAACAAGGAAAACTCCGCAGACTCGGAACTCCCACTGCTCAAGCTGCTGGACCAGTTGTTTCATGACAGGCAGGTGAGTGTACAGCTCGATCTGACCTGCAGGAAGAACAGCAGAGGCAGCACCCACAGGACATGGGTTAAGTCATCAAACACAGAGCATCCCATGAGATAGTTTACAACAGGGAAGTAGGGCCCTAGCAATAATACATTCAGTTTTTGTTTTGTTTTGGTGGTCCTGGGCTTTGATCTCAGGGCTGTGGTAGGCAGGTACTCTACAGCTTGAGCCACACCCCCAGTGTAATGCACTCAATTTTTAAGGGTCATTACAAACTGTCAAAACAACATAAAGCTTGAGGTTCTGCCACCCTAGGAATCTCAAGCAACTATCCAGTTTCAGGTAGAAAATGAAGTTTTCACACTTTCAGTTTGTGCCAATCAGAAGAGTGCTAAGACTGGGGCTGAAATGGAATGGTGGAGTGCTTGCCTGGCACTACAATTAAATAAACAAATAAGTAAACAAACAAACAATAAAATAACCCCCCAAGTGCTACCAAGGGATATGCAATTTTGGACTATTCATCAAGCTTCATACCTATGATACGTACCCTTTTCTTTGAGTATATGTTCAATTAAAAGAAACGGAAAACAAACGAGGACCATGAATTATCAAAACTAGATTAGGCTCAAGTTCATAATTTGGGGCCTGGCATGATGGCACACGCCTATAATTCCAGGAGGCAGAGGTCAGGAGGATTAAGGTTTGAGACCAGCACAGGGAAAAAGTTAGTGAGACTCCCATCTTGATCAATAAGCTGGGGATGGTGATGCATGCCTGTGATCACAGCTATTTGAGAGGCAGAGGTACAAGGATTTCAGTTCAAGACTGGCCACAGGCAAAAACTCAAGATCCTATTCAGAGAAAAAGAGCAAAAGGTCTGGTGGCATGGCTTAAGTTGGTAGAGTATCTGCAGTACTTACCTGCCTAGCAAGAGTGAGGCCCTGGGTTCAAACCCCAATTCCATAAAAGAAAGGCTCAGGCACCTCCAACCTGTCTGTTCCTTCCTGACTCAAGACTGTCAGCATGCTATGCCCTCTGTCTGAACCAGTCTCCTTCACTGTCCCCATCGCCCAGCTTAAAGGCCACCAGATCAGAAACCTTCCTAATCTCCCTGCCATGTGAAAGTCTAGGTACTGTGGAATACCAGTCACAAATGAATATAAAAAGGTCGCGGGGGTGATTCTGTCCACACTGTGTCGCATGCTATTGGACTGTGAGCTCCAGGAAGGCTGAGACCATGGCTTGCTTGCTCTCAGTAAGTTCAATGGGTGAATTAGAACCAACTAAGAGCTTGGCACCCTACTGCCATATGGCTTAGGGCTACAAATACTCCAGTCTCTCCCACTGAGAACACAGCCATCACAGCTCCAAGCACAACAGCACATTCAAACTGCTGACTGACCTGGACAGTCAAAGAGGATGTAGTCGTCCTCTACATGGCCAAGACAGTTCTCTAGCCAGTCAAAATTATTGGCAAAATACTCCATGCAGAAGACCAGTCCTCCGTTGGGGCCAAACCGCAGAGAGTCATCCTCCATCACATCATCCACTTCGATCAGTTCTCGGATGTCTGAAAGGACCAGTAAGGCTCAGAATGTAAGTAATAATTAACAACTTTATAAATATCAAAAAACTTCACATGTATGAAATTACTTATGTACATGGTTTTCATGGAAGCAGTGTCCATCAATAGGAAAGTGAGCAAATAAGTTATTAAATAGTCAGACACTGTATAGAGGAATATATGCAGATATAAAAAAGGGAGGAAAGCTTGAAGTACTGATCTAAGACAACCTGACATACTAAGTGAAAAATATAAGGTAGAGAACTCTATAACAAATCCCATCACGTGGGCCGGAGGCGTGGCTCAAGGGGCAGAGCACCCGCCTAGCAAGTGAAGCCATGAATTCCAACCCTAGTACTGAAAATAAATAAATAAAAACTTTGGGCTGAGGATATAGCTCAGTAATAGTCTAGCACTCACAGGGTCCTGGGTTCAATCCCTAGCACTGAAAGAAAAAAAAATCCTGTTATGTTCATTAAAAGAAAAAAGATGAAATAAAATCACTACATCTAAATAATGTGCACAGGCACTGGATTTCACGTGTACCGGCTATTTATGGAAGGACACACAGAAATTGGTAATACTGGCTACATAGAGGATTTTTTTTTTTTCTTGTGGTATTTATTGTTGGTTGAACTCAGGGCCTAAGCTTACTAGGCAGGTGTTCTACTGGTTGAGCCACACCCCCTACTTGGAGAGGATCTGACTGCTACACACAGAGCTGGGAGACATTTTCCTGTACACTTTTACTGTTTTGTGTTTTTTGCATTTTGAATCATGTAAATGTGTATTACTTAAAAAAAAAAAAAAGTAAAACAAAAACAAAGCCAACTGCCATTCTCTCTCTTTTCTCCCTCTCCTGGCATAGCAGTAATGGGGTTTGAACTCAGTTTTAACTGGGCCTCGAGCTTGCTAGACAAGTGCTCTACCATTTGAACCACCCGCCAGCCCTACACTACAGTGTCTTACCACAATGACAGAAGAGAAGCTACTTAACCTCCCTGAGCCCTGCTTCAGTTTTTATAAAGATGGGAAGCAGGGGTGGGAATCATACATCCTGGGGTAGAAGGATGAAGACTAGGAAATAAATCACCATTTGGAAGGGCTTTAAGATTCTGGTATACAGATTATTCTTTAATTTTCAGAAATCAGCATTTAGAATTTTCTACCTTAGATTTGTATTTATTTTTGTGCTCTGTTTGTGGAAAACTATACTTCATTCACAAGCACATTTATGCTGGCGACATCTTCCCACTGCTCCTCCAGGAATAAACAATTGACCTGAGTTGGGACAACAAAACCGGTCTTCTGAATGGATGGACCAACATTTGTCAGTCAGTAAGACACTTGGACCAGAAAGTGATGTGAACTTGGGGACCTTGTTAGGCCACCTGCACCATGAAGTAGAGAAAATTGGTCCTTAGGGGAGAGAAGACATCAGAGACAGCTAGAAAGCTGGTTTGGTTCCTGTTAGTTTTTGTGTTTGGGGTTCTAGTCTCTTACAGAGTCTTGCTCTTGGGTTATCTAAAAGTCCTACTAAATCTTTTTTACTTCAGCTAGCTTGAGCTTTCTGTATGCTGCAAACAGAAAGTTAATTTTTATTTTTAATTGTGGTACTGGGGCTTGAACTCAGGGCCTTCACCTTTAGCCACCAGCCCTATTTTTGTGAAGGGTTTTTCAAGATAGGGTCTTGTGAACTATTTGCCTGAGCTGACTCTGAAGGCAAGCCTCCTGATCTCTGCCTCCTGAGTAGCTAGGATTACAGGCGTGAGCCACCAGCACCTAGCCTTATAGTTACTCTGGACTGCCAGCTTAATTGGCTTGAGAAACACCTAGGAAATTAGTAAAGCATCTGGGTTTGTGAGTGCTTCCCAGAGATGATTAGATCACGAGAGCTCTGACCTAATGAATGGCTTAATCCCTACTGAGTTCATAATGGAAGTGATGAAAAGAAGGAGGTGGGGCCTGGATGGAGGAAGGGGGTCACTAGGACTGTGGCCCCTTCCTTTTTTCTCCTGTCCATGTTTTCCTGCTGCCGTGAAATGAGCCACTCTGCTCCACCAGGGGAAGTGAACCCTCCGAAGCTGAGCAAAATAAACCTTTCCTCCCTTAAATTGTTTCTCATGGATTTTTTGGTCACAGCTATGCAGAAGTAAATTAATACAATCCCAAAGCAATGTAATGTCTTTTCCCAAGGAAGATGATGATTTCTGCCTCCTCTCCAACCTGCCTTCCTCTCCCACTCTCAGCTAAGATCACACATCATTATCAAAAATCAGAAGTCAATAAGAGCTTTTTTCTTTTGTTTTTTGAGGCAAGGCCTTGTTAAGTAGCCCAGGCTGGCTGCATACCCATGATCTTCCTAACTCTGCCTCCAGAGTGCTGGGATTACAAGTGAGCATCACCATGCCTGGCTGAAAATTTTTCATAGTCCCACAACCAACACCACATGAGACCTTCTGCTGGTCTTTCCTCTTGATACTGGGTAAGAACTTCACTCCTCACAAAGGCAAACCCCTTCTTTGCTCAGGATCTCCTCTCCCTTCTCACTCTTGTAGTTATTTCTGCTTTCTCTGGCACTAACAGTTTCTTTCTTCACTGGATTGTTTTAGTGAGTAGACAAGTACATCCAGTTACAACCTCCAACCTGAAAACCAAAACCTCCCTTCCCTTCCAGTCATCAAACCATCTCAGCCCCTTTCACCACTCTTCATAATCCCTCCTGCTTTCACTCCTACCACACCACTGACGTCACTGGCCAAGTAGCCAGGGTCTCCAAGTTCCCAAATCTAACCACCACTCCTCTGTCCTCATCTTACAGCTTTTCAGCTGTACTTACATTACCAACCCCCACCTCTTTCTTAAAACACTCTCGCCTGAGTGTTTCCCTTCCACCTTACTGACGCCTCCTCCTCTACCAGATCTCCAAAGAGCAGACAACTTCGATGCTTAGTCTTGAGTTCTTTTCTCTAACCATACTCTCTACTCCATACTCTTGTTGCAGAGGTTTTATGTAGCTATATGCTGTTGACACAAATATTTACATCTCCAGTGTAAGTGAGCTGTTTTCACTTAAGCTTAATCTTTTTTACTTAAGCTAGCTGTTTGCTGCAACCAAATCAGCTTCATTACAGATTTACTATGGCAGAACTATGTAAGAAGGGGTTGAAGGACAGTGAAGGAGGAGTCTACTCACTTTTAAGCCTTACGTCAAAAACCATGAAAGACGCCAGCAAGGTAGTATATGCCTGTAATCTTAACTAGTCAGGAGGCACAGGCAAGAGGATTGGGGGGGGAGGGGTTTCAAGGCCAGCCCCTGGCAAAGTTACTGAGATTCCATCTCAAAAACAAAATACAAACAAAAGAACTGGGGCTGTGGCTCAAGTGGTAGAGCACTTGCCTAGAATGATGTAGGCCTAGAAAGGATACTGTCACACACATCATGTGAACATGTCACCAAATAACACTCAGTCTCATTCCATTCACCGAGAGACCAGGGTATGAGACAACAATAATTAGTTTCTCAGTTTCCAGGTAAACAGCCAGCACTAACTTCCTGAAGCTGGGAAGGCTCTGCCAGGACTTACCAGCCATCACAGGGTAGTTGAAGTGCTCTGCTGCTGGGTCTAGGTTGACCACCTGGACAGACCGGTTGAGGGCTTCACAGTGCTGGACCATGGTGGCACAGTACGTACTCTGTAATGTCACACGGCATGAGGAGTTACAGCAATTGGCAGTGCTACCTGCCACACCCCCATAAGGAGTTTTTTTCTTTTTGCAGGGCTAGGGTTAAACTCAGGGCTACACCTTGAGCCACTCCACCAGCCCTTTTTTGTGATGGGTTTTTTTGAGATAGGGTTTCATGAACTGTTTGCCCAGGCTGGCTTCCAACTATGATCCTTCTGATCTTTGCCTCCTGGGTAGTTAGGACTACAGGTGTGAGCCACCGGCACCCAGCGAAGATTCTTTTTCTTTTCTTAAAAGATGTTGCAGGTATGAAATAAGACTGAGCCACAGGAAGCACAGCCCTTTGGACTCCCTGCAATTTCTCTCGCATTCACTCATATCTTGGAAGCATGAAGAATGAAGCCACCAAGAGGGTTTAAGAATGCAACCCAGAAGGATTCTTGACACCCTTTTGGAGCAGTGTCCACTCAGACCAAATGTATGCTTTCAACCAAGAAGATGGCTGAAAATAAGGAAAAAGGCACTGATCTGGCAGGCACTGATCTGCCTGGGCTGCAAATCCATACCAGGCCTGAACTCAAGGGTAACCTCCGGAAGTGGCTTCTCTACTCTGTCCCTCAATTTTCTTGTCTCTGAGATATCCTTTGTGATCACTAAGGCTTCTTACCAAGTGGACTTTAAAGGAAAAGCTGTCTGCTTACACAGGTCAGCACCTAACACACAAGTCTCTACTACAACTTGTACAGTCCAAACAAAACTTCAGGTGTACGGGCAGGGATGATGTCTCTGAGGTGGTACGTGAGCACACGGGAATGTGCTTCCAACCTCAGAGAGCACTAAAAGGTCAAAAGGATAGCTTGAAGGTTGGCTAGCAGTTTACACTTTTGGTTGCGAGAATTCTTTACCACACATTCCAGAATATTTACCATACTATGTTAAAGTCTCTAGGTTGCTTGCCCTTCTCCCATCCTGTTTAAAAACAGAGATAGCTGTATGTACGTATGTTTTTTTTTTTGGTGGGGGGGAGTACTGGAATTTGAACCCAGGTGCTCTACCACT